TTCGTATTCCTACCGCCTGTATTATAGTCCGATTCGTGCTATTCCTGTATTTCGTGTATTTTCCAGCCGCCTGTATTATATGCCGTTTTTGCGTTAATCTTTGTATAGCGTTCAAATTCCAGCCGCGTGGATTATCGTCCGTTTCACGTCAGTATATGTTGCGTTAATGATTCTTTCTTTTATTCTTTGATTCTTTCTTTTACACGTATTATGTACATGTCCGTTTCTTCTTGATTAAATAAATGTTCACGGCGGAATTACCTACACGCGTAATATTATTGTAAGTGCCTTCCTTCTCCGATACGAACCTCTCGCGTTTCCGACCGCCTTAACCGACGAGCTACGTACAAGCAATGGGAGTTAGGTTGTTTCAAGATATATAAAATTTAAATTGTTATTTCGGTTGTATGAAATCTAAAGCTCAGAACTTTTTTGTACACCTAATAATTAAGGACCGGTTTCCTGTACCTCTCGTTGAAGAGAAGATTGACAGCTTGAAGGATGCACGAATATTTTCATTGATTGATCTGACAAATGGATTTCTCCACGTACCGGTTGAGGAAGAATCCTGAAAGTTCATGGCGTTTGTGAAGGTCTGTATGAATTCAAGATGACCCCTTTCGGATTATACTATAGCCCAGCCAGTTTTATGAGATTTGTTAACGAAGTCTTTAAAGATCTAATATCGGAAGATAATAATAATTTACATGGACGAATTGTCATACCAGGAAACAATTATGAACATGCTTATGAGAAACTAGTGAGAACCTTAAAAACGGCAGAAGAACACGGATTGAATATTAATTGGCATAAAAGCAGCTTCCTTAAAACAAAGATTGAATTTTTAGGACATGAAGTAGAAAATGGCCATGTGCGCCCGGCCAAGGCTAAAATCAAAGCGGTTACGTACTTTCCAGAGCCAACATCTAAATTACAGGTTGTCAGTTTCCTTGGCTTAACAGGACTTCCGTAAGTTCGTCCATAATTATGCACGAATTGCTCGACCGTTATCTGATCTGTTAAAAAAGGATAAAAGATAAGATGTTTCTACATCGGTGAAGAACAGAAAAAGGCAATTTTGACATTGAAGAACATTTTATCTCAGGAGCCAGTACTTCGCATCTACGATGTTAACGCGATCACAATTACATACAGATACCAGTTCGGAGGGATACGGTGATATACTACTACAGAAGAACTCTGATGAAGAACAATTCCACCCGGTTTACTATTGGAGCAGTAAAACCTCAGACATAGAGAAGAAATACCATTCTTACGAATTGGAAATCCTGGCGATCGTGCGAGCACTACAAAAATTTAGAGTCTACTTACTTGGATTAACTTTCAAGATAGTGACAGACTGTGAAGCATTTAAAAAGACTGATGAAGAAAGAAATAACTCCCAAGATCGCACGTTGGATATTAACTATGGAAGAATTCTCATCATCGAGCATCGCCCACTCAATTAAAACACGTGGATGCATTGAGTCGCTCTCCAATCATGTTAATCGAAGATAAGCTCGTGGTTATGATACGAAAAAAGCAAGATGAAGAAGAAAAACTTCGAGTAATTAAGTTACTACTGGAAAGAGGTCCCTACCAGGACTACGTACTTAACGATGGTATATTGATGAAACGGATTAACAATACAACAGTGATTGTGCTGCCGCTATGTATGCAAATCGACTTAATTTGGTGAACGCATGATCAAGGCCACTTTGGTGTGAGAAAGATGTCGGAAAAGATAAATAAGGTTTATTATATATCAAGCCTCAAGAGTAAATCAGAAACCTTTATAAGTTGCTGTGTACCTTGTGTATTAGCAGAACGGAAGAAAGGGAAGCGTGAGGGCGTGTTGGCACCAATACCAAAAGGAGACCAACCGCTGCATACGTATCACATAGACCATTTAGGTCCTATGACCATTACAGGCAAATTGTATCGGTACCTTCTAGTAATAATCGACGAATTTTCCAAGTTTGTTTGGATCTATCCCACCAAAACCACGAACACGAAGGAAATGTTAAGCAAGTTGAAGGAACTACAAAGGACTTTTGGTAATCTCTCGAGAATCATCACTGACAGAGGTTCCGTTTACACTTCAGCTGATTTCAAGGAATATTGTTCAGAAGAACAAATTAAGGATATACTTATCACCACTGGAGTCCCTCGTGGAAATGGCCAGGTGGAGAGGATTCATCAGATCATCATCCATCTGTTAACTAAATTAAGCATGGCTGATCCCACAAAATGGTTTCGATTCACACATAAGGTTCAGCAATGCATCAATAACACATACCAAAGGAGTGTTAAAATGACACCATTCGAACTACTATTTAGAGTCAAGATGCGACAAAAAGAAGACGCCGAAATCCGCGAATTCATCGACCGAGAAGTAGCGGAATTATATCAAGAAAACCGACAAGAGCTGCGGCAAATAGCAAGAGAAAATATTCTGAAAACCTAAGAAGAAAATCGTCGAAATACAAAGAGGGTCACTAAATCTGCTATTACTTATGCGGAAGGAGATTTAGTAGCTATACAAAGGACGCAATTCGGAACTGGGCTGAAAATAAGCAAGAAGTTCTATGGGCCCTATCGCGTGACGAAGGTCAAGAGAAATGACCGTTATGATGTGGCCAAGGTTGGATCTGGTGACGGTCCCGAGCGAACATTCACTGCTGCTGATCTGATGAAACCCTATCTTATATCCTCTTCCGGGACAGGAGAGATAGCAGAATGACCGAGTGTGAGAAGCGAATAGGCCCTAGGTACCTTAGAGCCCTGTAACAACAACCGAACAAGACCGAGTGGCGTCCTAGACTGCGAGACATTATCGATGGAGCGAGAGTAATGACCGAAAGAGAACGGACGGGAGCGCGGCAGTAGCAGTAGTAGTAATGAAGGAGAGTAAGAGAAGAAACGAAAATTATCCGACGCACGTGTATTTTCTT